CATTTCACTTTTAATTTGGAGAATTTATAAATAGGACTGCCATAAGGTATTTTCCATTCATGGAGTGTAGAACTTCAGTTTCTCAAAAGATTATGTGACTCGGAAATGTCAGAAAGCTTGGCTTCACAAACACATATGTGTCTTTCTTTGATGGAGGTAGAGCTTCTGAAAATGGCATTTAAGATTGATTTACTCAGTAGGACAGAGGGGTTAGTTTGTACTTAAAATATAAAAGAACTTATGTATGAAGAAAATACCTACTGGTTAACTTCTATTAGCTATTAAACAACCATCAAAAATCCTTAATAAAACATTCATTTGTAATTTTAATAGCTAGCTGTGTAATGTGTAGGAGATGTATTTTCTAAATTTGAAATTACAGTGTTTGCTTCATTTTTAAGAGGCAGAACTTCTTGTCTTTTTCAATTGCAATTTATCTTGAGGGTGAAGATTAATAATACTCTGCCATGTAGGAGAATGTGTATGTTTCTATATGTGACACCACCAAGGTCTGAGATTTATTATAGATGTGTAAAAAATTTATTATTTGATACATGATTCCTAAAGATTTTTAAAACTGAGCATAGTTTAAGCGGAAATGTAGTATTTTCTAAAGGAACTTTAAGAATTCTGTATTATGTTAAGAAATCTGCAAATAATGTATTTTTCTGAGGTGTCACTGTATCATTTTGTAAATAATTGAGTTTCTTTGAGTGTAATTTGGTTTATGCTAATTATATGATTTGAAAAAGCTTTCATAATACCAGAACTATATGAACAGTAATATATCCTTTATCTCCTAACTTCTTTTTCTCTAGTTTGATTATATTTTGATATATAGCCAATAGGCTTCTACTCTCAGTTCATTCTCCACTTCTCCAACATTTCTTTCTCACAGCACTATACAGTGTTTCTTCAATATTTATTTGATAGATGTTTAAATGGATTTTGATATTTTGAATGGCACTGATTTGATATAGAAATTCTACATTCCTTAGCATAGACAAATGTGAATTTTTAAGAATACAATGTATAGGAATGATTTAGAAATATCTACCACTTAGCCATTTAAGAAATGGTGATGTTACTTAACAAAATATTTTGTTTGAAATGCAGATGATGGTGCATACACTCGTGATCTCAATATGGGTTCTTTCAGGGGAACTTTTCCAGTTAAAAGATGTCCACCTTTCAGAAGTGGAGGTCCTTATCCAAATAAGTCTGCTCCTTTTACTCTGGCTAGAAGCAATAGTGGGATGGGGTCAAGATAAATGCTACCCGATGGAATTCTGCCATTTCTGTATGACTAAAAATGAGTCATTTGAATTAAAGGCTTAACTTAAAATTTGAGAAACAAAATAGATGTGACACATACATTGGCATATTTACTGTTTGAAAACTTTTATAATACTTTCCATCTCACTAGATAAGTTCCAGATTTATGGTGAAGAAACGCTTGAGCTTCAAATTTTAAATAAAAGAAGGGATTACAGTGAGGGAAAAACTCCTTTTAATGCTGTGTTTGCTAGAGAATAGCTTTTAAATTTTCTTGAAGTTCCTGGTAGTATTTTTTGATGGTCAGCTTCTTAATCAAATCAATTCTTCCATTTCATAGGTCCCTTTGTATTGGACCCCTGGTGTTCCCATGTAAAAATTGTATGTTGAGTTTCATGGTTGGGTTGAAGTACTGCCTTCACCAGGCCAGAGTGCACTGGCGAGTTGATGGCTCATGACTGCCTCAAATTCTGGGGCTTAAACAGTTACTCTCTTAAAGCTGCCTCTTGCTGTCCCAGCTAGTGGCTTGCACCACCACACCTAATTTAAAAAAAATATTTCGGTAGAGACAGGATCTCACTACATTGTCATAGTTGACATTAAATCCCTGAGCTCAAGCAGTCTGCTTGCCTCAGTCTTCCACACTGTCTCATGGTGTGAGCCATTGCGCCTGGCCATCCAGATCCTGAGACCCTGGCAATGCTTATGTGAGAGGCATTCTGACCGGTTTTTAAGATAGTAAGAGCATCCTCAAAGATGGATGTTGGCCAAGAGCATGTCCAACATTTTCGGTTATGTGGCTATCAGAGAAGTGCAGAGTTGTGAAACATAGGAAGGGCTGAAAATTAATCTTTAAGATGCTACAGGGATGTTTAAACATTAACAGAAGATACTTAGTGTAGGAGTTGAATGTATTTGAGGGGAGAATTCAGAACGAAGCAGGATGAAGCAAGCAGTAGGGTTGAATAGAAGGAATAATTCTGAGAAGGGGAAGTGTAAGGTTTCAGAGTGAACAGAAGAAAGCCAGACAATAAAGCTCTCAGCAAAGAATTTTAAGTAGAACATATTAAAATTCTTACTTAGCCCTCCATGATAATATGGAGAAAATGGAAACATTGCATTTTCTATTTTACATTT